ATTGAGCGGTGTAGGACATTTTTGAAATTCGTATTAATGTGTACAAATTAGTACCGAATGTATATTTGGGTGAACTGATAGTGCCGGAACACTGACAATTGGAAATAAGGTTACTGAGTGTAGGATTGGGGTATCGATATTGTTTTGAAAATGCATACTTTTTGGTACTAAATTTGGAACAATTTAATTTTAGGTGAACTGATAGAGCTTGGATCCTGAAAATGTGTACTAAATTACACTAAATTTGGATTTAGGTGAATCGGTAGAGCCAGAATCATGACATTTTGAGTGGGTATTGGATTGCGGTATGTAGGAAGTTTTACAAATGTCTACGAATGAGTATTTAATGGCACCAAACTTGGTACAATTTGGATTTAGAGTGAACCAATAGAGCTGGAATCCTGAAATAGGGTAATCAGATTTCCATTGGATTTCATGATGTAGGTCAGCGGCATAGCCAGAGGGGGGAGCAATTGAGGATTTTTTTTAAATATATATTTCCAATGACATTCCGCTGATTTGTAAAATATTTTTTTCATGCGCTATTTCAATGGAATTATCTTTTTTCCATGGTGGAATAGTATAAATAATATTTTTAAAAAATATTACCTCTAAGGACTGTTAAAGACATGTATTGTTTAAAAAAGGTTTCAAGGACAGTGGTCCAGTGTGATATTTTCTTTAATAATATGTTTTCAAGGACATTGAACAAATGTGGATTTTATAGAAATATTTTGTTCAAGGGTAGGACCCTTTAACGTGGATTAAAAAAAAATAGTTATTTAAGTTATTTTATAAAAACAATTGTTTTCAAGGACTATTGAATGCGCTGATTTGTTAAAGAACATTTTTCCATAAGGTATTAAAAGCGTTTTTTGAGATCTATTTAATATTTGGATTTGTATAAACAAATATTAATTTATAGTTGTTAAAATGTATATTTTTAATATTTAAAGAAAATTTTGTTTTGCGAAATAGTTAGGCTGAATCCCACTTTGTTGTTTTTATAAAAAAAACACTACCAAATTTAAAGAAAATTGTACCAAGGAACTGGGACCTCCTAAAAAGTATGAAGTGAAGCGTATCGAAGTGGTATTTTGAAGGGTTTATACGTACTTTACTGAACTTAAAACACTCAATATGTTGGAGACCATAAATAGATCGAACCGGCCGAACTTAACGATTTTTTAATTTTTTTGAGAACCATCGCTTTTGTGGCAAAACAAATAAAAGTCCCGCCCTATTTTCGGTATTTTGAAGGGTTTATACGTACTTTACTGAACTTAAAACACTCAATATGTTGGAGACCATAAATAGATCGAACCGGCCGAACTTAACGATTTTTTTTTTTTTCAATGGAGAGAGGCGTGGATTTATTTAAAGAAATATTTTTTCAAGGACTGGACATGTACACCATTTCAAAAGTATTTCTTATTCGTTCAATATACGTTGAACTTTTGGCGCAGTCAGTTTTCAAAATAAGTTTTTCAAACACATTCCCATCAGTAACACCTTCCACAAGGACATAAAAAAAACAGAATGTGTCAACATAACACATTTACAACTTTATCAGCTCCGACGACGACGATGATGAGATGAGCGATTTTCAATAAAACAAACAACAATCAAGTGGAACTTTCAACTTGATTGGACATTGTAACAACAAATGAATGGATGTAAATGAAAAGGGGCCACGTATGGGTAATACCTGCTTTATTTGTTGTGTAACCTAAATGTATAAGGACAATGACATCGTCCTTTTAAATCAGGTCACACAACATAATTGTCATACACTACAAAACAAAAAAAAAAAAAAAAACATGCATAAATTAGGAATTGTTTGTTGATGACAGAAGATTGATACAAAAAATTAGTTTTGTGTTCCGAAGGGACAAGGATCTACTTGAATGTAAAAAAGAGTATAGTAAAATATTTACATAATCAATGCCCTGTCATGTTCCATAACATGGATTATGGTTAAACCCCCCAAGTCTCTTTTTGTCGATTATGATTTATAAAAAATATGATGAATGATGTTGTGGTTGTTTTTATGGGCAGATTAAAAGCCCAATATTTTTTAAAGCGCGGATATTTTAAAGAATATTTTTTCAAGACCTTCCTAAAGCCTGGATTTTTACAAAATATTTGTCCAAGGCCTACCAAAGGCGTGGAATTTTTAAAGAATATTTTTTCCAGGCCTACCAAAGGCGTGGATTTTTTAAAGAATATTTTTTCAAGGGCTATATATGGCGAGGATTTATAGAAGAATATTTTTTCAAGGGCTATATATGGCGAGGATTTATAGAAGAATATTTTTTCAAGGTCTATATAAGGCGTGGATTGTTAAAAGAATATTTTTCCAGGCCTATAAAATGCCTGGATTTTTTCAAGAATATTTTTTCAAGACCTTCCTAAGGGCCTGGATTTTTTACAAGGCCTACCATAGGCGTGAATTTTTTAAAGATTATTTTTTCAAGGCCTACCAAAGGCGTGGATTTTTTAAAGAATATTTTTTCAAGGCCTATATAAGGAGTAGATTTTTTAAAGAATATTTTTCCAAGTCCTATATAAGGCGTGGATTTTTTAAAGAATATTTTTTCCAAGGCATATATAAGGCGTGGATTTTTAAAGAATATTTTTCCCAGGCCTATATAAGGCGTGGATTGTTAAAATAATATTTTTCCAGGCCTATAAAATGCCTGGATTGTTAAAAGAATATTTTTCCCAGGCCTATATAAGGCGTGGATTGTTAAAAGAATATTTTTCCAGGCCTATAAAATGCCTGGATTTTTTAACGAATATTTTTTCAAGACCTTCATAAGGGCCTGGATTTTTTACAAGGCCTACCATAGGCGTGAATTTTTTAAAGATTATTTTTTCAAGGCCTACCAAAGGCGTGGATTTTTTAAAGAATATTTTTTCAAGGCCTACCAAAGGCGTGGATTTTTTAAAGAATATTTTTTCAAGGCCTACCAAAGGCGTGGATTTTTTAAAGAATATTTTTTCAAGGCCTACCAAAGGCGTGGATTTTTTAAAGAATATTTTTTTAAGGCCTACCAAAGGGGTGGATTTTTTAAAGAATATTTTTTCAAGGCCTACCAAAGGCGTGGATTTTTTAAAGAATATTTTTTCAAGGCCTACCAAAGGCGTGGATTTTTTAAAGAATATTTTTTCAAGGCCTACCATAGGCGTGAATTTTTTAAAGATTATTTTTTCAAGGCCTACCAAAGGCGTGGATTTTTTAAAGAATATTTTTTCAAGGCCTATATAAGGAGTAGATTTTTTAAAGAATATTTTTCCAAGTCCTATATAAGGCGTGGATTTTTTAAAGAATATTTTTTCCAAGGCATATATAAGGCGTGGATTTTTAAAGAATATTTTTCCCAGGCCTATATAAGGCGTGGATTGTTAAAATAATATTTTTCCAGGCCTATAAAATGCCTGGATTGTTAAAAGAATATTTTTCCCAGGCCTATATAAGGCGTGGATTGTTAAAAGAATATTTTTCCAGGCCTATAAAATGCCTGGATTTTTTAACGAATATTTTTTCAAGACCTTCATAAGGGCCTGGATTTTTTACAAGGCCTACCATAGGCGTGAATTTTTTAAAGATTATTTTTTCAAGGCCTACCAAAGGCGTGGATTTTTTAAAGAATATTTTTTCAAGGCCTACCAAAGGCGTGGATTTTTTAAAGAATATTTTTTCAAGGCCTACCAAAGGCGTGGATTTTTTAAAGAATATTTTTTCAAGGCCTACCAAAGGCGTGGATTTTTTAAAGAATATTTTTTTAAGGCCTACCAAAGGGGTGGATTTTTTAAAGAATATTTTTTCAAGGCCTACCAAAGGCGTGGATTTTTTAAAGAATATTTTTTCAAGGCCTACCAAAGGCGTGGATTTTTTAAAGAATATTTTTTCAAGGCCTACCATAGGCGTGAATTTTTTAAAGATTATTTTTTCAAGGCCAACCAAAGGCGTGGATTTTTTAAAGAATATTTTTTCAAGGCCTATATAAGGAGTAGATTTTTTAAAGAATATTTTTCCAAGTCCTATATAAGGCGTGGATTTTTTAAAGAATATTTTTTCAAGGCCTATATAAGGAGTAGATTTTTTAAAGAATATTTTTCCAAGTCCTATATAAGGCGTGGATTTTTTAAAGAATATTTTTTCAAGGCCTACCAAAGGCGTGGATTTTTTAAAGAATATTTTTTCAAGGCCTACCAAAGGCGTGGATTTCTTAAAGAATATTTTTTCGAGGCCTACCAAAGGCGTGGATTTTTTAAAGAATATTTTTTCAAGGCCTACCAAAGGCGTGGATTTTTAAAAGAATTTTTTTTCAAGGCCTACCAAAGGCGTGGATTTTTTAAAGAATATTTTTTCAAGGCCTACCAAAGGCTTGGATTTTTTAAAGAATATTTTTTCAAGGCCTACCAAAGGCGTGGATTTTTTAAAGAATATTTTTTCAAGGCCTACCAAGGGCGTGGATTTTTTAAAGAATATTTTTTCAAGGCCTACCAAGGGCGTGGATTTTTTAAAGAATATTTTTTCAAGGCCTACAAAGGGCGTGGATTTTTTAAAGAATATTTTTTCAAGGCCTATATAAGGCGTGGATTTTTAAATGAATATTTTTTCCAAAAACGTATTTTTTTACAAAAATATAAAAAGATTGTTAATATTATAGCCCTATTTGGATGGGAACACATTTGAGATTTCATAGCAAAGCCATAGGTACCCAATTTCTCAACCAATGAGAAAACTAGAGGGTGCCATCTATGGTCTAGTAGCCACAACTCTATCCCATTATCAATCAAACCAACCCCCTATTTTTCAAATGCAATGAAAACAAAATGTAGCAGGTGTTTTACCGGCGAAACGTTCATCTTGTAACCAACCGATACGTTGCCATGGCATTGGTTGGTAGGAAAAAACGAATCCTTCAGTCCTTTTTTGAGCCTCCTAAACGTCAAATGGAATAGCAGAACAAAAAAAGAACAACAAAAAAATGAAATTGAAAACCCACATCTGCAAAAAGACTCCATCGAATATCAATGGCGAATATCCATTGAAAATAATTTCCAATAAGGATATTGGTGGACCTGGTGGTAATCAAGAAAATTCGAGTAAGGATAAGACATTGGAAAATCTCCCCTTGAGCTGTGTCGACTGGAGCAGTAATGATGAAATTTATTTTGTGAGGTTAGAATAAATTTAAAAATATATGGAGAAGGAAAAAATAATTCTACTTTGTTTCTATTACAGTGATGACCATCAAATTTTCAAATGGAGTTCGGCAACAAGGGACTCTGTGGAAGTGGCAAAATTACCGGATGATTTCATACCCACAGATTTACATTGGTTGCTACTGGGTGGCCGCAGCAGTGGTGGGGGCAAGGGTAGTGACACTCTATTAATCTGTAGCAATGATGGACGTTTTATTATTTTGAATAAAAGTTCAAGGGTGGAGAGGAGTATTACAGCCCATGCTGCGGCCATTTCGTCGGGTAGATGGAGTCCCGATGCAGCTGGACTGTTGACTGGTAAGGATTGAAATTTTATTGGAAGTCTTAATTGATATTGAGGTTTATTTTTTCTAGCTGGCGAAGATGGTGTCATCAAAATCTGGTCCCGATCGGGAATGTTACGCTCAACGGTCATACAAAGTGATGAGCCAATACGATGTGCCCGATGGGCACCCAATTCCACATCGATTGTATTCTGTCAGGGCAGCTATATATCGGTGAAGCCTTTGGCGGCCAATAGTAAATTGATAAGGGTGAGTATGAAGACCAAACGATCTTTTCAGAGTCCACCAAAGGCGTGGATTTTTTAAAGATTATTTTTTCAGGGTCTATAGATGGCAGGGATTTTTAAAGAATATTTTTTTAGCGTCTAAACAAGGCGGATTTTTTAAAGATTATTTTTTCAGGGTCTATAGATGGCAGGGATTTTTAAAGAATATTTTTTTAGCGTCTAAACAAGGCGGATTTTTTAAAGGACACATTTTTCAGGGTCTATAGAAGGCGTGGATTTTTGTAAGAATATTTTTTTCAGGGTTTAAACAAGGCGTGGATTTTTTAAAGAATATTTTTCAGGGTCTAAACAAGGCGTGGATTCTTTAAAGAATAGTTTTGAGGGTCTAAACTATGCGTGGATTCTTTCAGGGTCTATACAAGGCGTGGATTTTTTAAAGAATATTTTTTCAAGGCCTACCAAAGGCGTGGATTTTTAAAAGAATATTTTTTCAAGGCCTACCAAAGGCGTGGATTTTTAAAAGAATATTTTTTCAAGGCCTACCAAAGGCGTGGATTTTTAAAAGAATATTTTTTCAAGGCCTACCAAAGGCGTGGATTTTTTAAAGAATATTTTTTCAAGGCCTACCAAAGGCGTGGATTTTTTAAAGAATATTTTTTCAGGGTCTGTAAAATGCGTGGATTTTTTAAAGAATATTTTTTCAGGGTCTATAGAAGGCGTGGATTTTTTAAAGAATATTTTTTCACGGTCTATAGAAGGCGTGGATTTTTTAAAGAATATTTTTTCACGGTCTAAACAAGGCGTGGATTTTTTAAAGAATATTTTTTCACGGTCTAAACAAGGCGTGGATTTTTTAAAGAATATTTTTTCACGGTCTAAACAAGGCGTGGATTTTTTAAAGAATATTTTTTCACGGTCTAAACAAGGCGTGGATTTTTTAAAGAATAATTTTTCAGGGTCTAAACAAGGCGTGGATTTTTTAAAGAAAATTTTTTTTAGGGTCTAAAAAAGGCGTGGATTTTTTAAAGAAATTTTTTTTTCAGGGTCTAAAAAAGGCGTGGATTTTTTAAAGAAAATTTTTTTTCATGGTCTAAAAAAGGCGTGGATTTTTTAAAGAATATTTTTCAAGGTCTATAGAAGGCGCTGATTTTTTAAAGCATATTTTTTCAGTGTCTATAGAAGGCGCGGATTTTTAAAGAATATTTTATCAGGGTCTAACCAAACAAGGCGCGGATTTTTTAAAGAATATTTTATCAGGGTCTAACCAAACAATGCGCGGATTTTGTAGATTTCTTTAACGTCCTCCTAAATGTCCTTCTAAAGGCCTGAATTTTGTAAGGAGCTTCTTAAGGATTTTTATCAATGTTTTTGGTGGCTTGGATGTTTTTTCCGAAGGTCCGAAATTTTTAAAGAATATTTGCTACATGGAAGATTTTTTAAAGAATATATATTGAAAGGCCAGCAATACTTAGAGTTTCTTAAAACCATTTTCAGATATCCAAATTTAAACCTCTAAGAATATTTTTCCAGGGCACAGAATGGTACCTTCTAAGAATCTTTTTCCGACCTCCTAATATTACCCTTTGGGAATATTTTTCTGAGTCCCCTAATATTACACTTTAAGAATATTTGTTCAGACCTTCTAAGCCTATTTTTGACCTTCTAATATTAAACTCTAAGCTTTTTCAGACATCTAATAATGCATTCTGAGTATATTTTCAGGCCTCCTATGACCCTATGTTTGGCATTTTGTAAGAATTTTTTGAATTTCGATTTGTTTTTCCTATTTTCCTCATGACAGTGGCGTGCCCATGATGGCCTGGTCTTATCCCTCAGCTGGTCATCACAATCGAATATCATAGCCTCTGGTGGAGAAGATTATCGTTTTAAAATTTGGGATTCCCAGGGAGCGAATTTATTCACCAGTACCACCGAAGAATATGCCATAACGGCTGTGGCCTTTAACCCCGAAAAGGATATACTGCTGGTCAGCACTTTCAACATGCTAAAACTGTGTTCCACTGCGGGGGTAAGTAACCGAAAAATTGGCATGTATCCCATTTTAAGAAAATATTCTCTCTTCCAGTGGTCCTATAGCACAGCCCGATTCAATGAACCTGTTGTTGGATCATTCCACACCCTCTCCTGGTCCTCGGATGGTACTCAGGTGGCATGTGGTACCTCGACAGGACAACTAATTGTGGGCTATATTGTCCAAAAGCAAATGATATCGAGGAACTTAAAGGCCACAACAACAGGAAGGAAATCCCTGCGTTTGGAAGATACATCGAATGGCAGCAGTGATATGCTGGAATTTACTGAACGTGTTATAAATTTCGCCGTGGGTTATGGTCATCTGATTGTGGCCACCTCGAATCAAATACATATTTATAATGAAAAATATATCAATACACCGATTATTATTGATGGCCGGACCGATGTCAGGGTTATACAAGTGGGGAAGAAGTAAGGGTTTTTTAATTTATATTTTTAAACAGTATTAAAATCGTTCAAATATATTTTTTAGGTTTTTTATGGTCTTGGACTCCACCTCTATATGGGTTTATACCTACACCGGACGTTTACATTTGAATCCACGCTATCCGGGCAGCCAGGCTCAAATACCATTGCTAAATGGCCGCAGTATTTCGTTAGGATTGGATACTTTGGTGGTTAGAGATAATTCGGATACAATGGGTAAGTTAATGAACTCACCTTTTTGGTCCTTGAAAAAAAGTGTATTACCATTATAATTTTGTGTACATGTTTCTTATTCTAGTCCTTCACATTTTCGATTTAATACCGGGAGCGACGCGGCAATATGAACCCTTCATGCTAAAGGCGAAGACACAAATTGCCGAAATTGCGGCTTGTCGTGCTGGAACTGTCGATGATCAATTTGTTGTGATGATAGACAACAATCGGGAATTGTATATAACTGAGACCAGAAATTTGAATAGCAGTAACGAAAGAAGTGCCATTGCTGGTAGTATCAGTGGATCGAGCTCTGGAGAAATATATAAAATTGGAACCCAGGTGACGACAGTACAATGGGCAAGTGAGTCCAATATTTTGGTGGGTGTCCATGACACATGCTATAGCATCTGGTATTGCCCCGGGGAGGGGGCACCAGATCCAACAATTATTGCTCTGACCACAGTGACCATAGATGCAACGTAAGTTTTGCTACCCTTCTTCTATTTTTTGATATCTGTAATACTTTGTTGTTGGTTCTCTTTTAGGGAATTTGGTAAAAACATTGCCATTGAGTCCTTTGAAGATTCCATTGTGACATTCCGCTGTTCAGGGGCTCTGCTGCCCATCGCGGTGAATATGTATTGTGAGATATTGCATCGCACCCTTGCCGAGGGCCAATGGCAGCAATCGCTGAAGATATGCCGCCTAGCCCACAATGCCTACTTATGGGCCACCTTGGCTGCAGTGGCTACACGTAAAAATCAACTACAAATTAGCGAAGAAGCCTATTCGGCAGCTCTGCAAATCGATAAGGTTAGCTATTTGCAGCACATTAAAACATTGGATCCCTCAAGTCCGGAATATATGGCGGAAAATTCCCTGATGTTGGGTAGACTTATTGAAGCGGAGACGATATTAATTCATAATCGGAAATATCGTGAAGCTGTGGCATTGTGTCTGCGTATGCACAACTGGCGTAAGGCGTTGGAGGTGGCCCAAAAACATGAACCGGATTTAATGGAAGTGGTACTGGAACAGAGAAGGAAATATTTGAACGCTTTGAATCGTGAAGAATGGGATACTTTATTTATTAGTTTGAGTGTAAAGGATAATGATGAATAAATTTGAAAATTTAATAGGCAGGACAGATCATAGGTTTTCCTTCCAGGGCGTTGATGAGGTTATTGGCAGCCACCATTGCCATTTCGGTGGTAGTCTTAATCGTTTGGGTACCCAAATGCGGAATGATGACTGAAAAGAGAAGAAAGAACGAAACAATTAATACTCATAGAAAAAAATGTGATCTCCAAGGGTCTGAGGACATTGTATGGATCTCTGAAAAAATATTCTTTAAAAAATCCACGCCTTGTATGGATCTCTGAAAAAATATTCTTTAAAAAATCCACGCCTTGTATGGATCTCTGAAAAAATATTCTTTAAAAAATCCACGCCTTGTATGGATCTCTGAAAAAATAAAAAATTCTTTAAAAAAATCCACGCCTTGTATGGATCTCTGAAAAAAAAAATATTCTTTAAAAAATCCACGCCTTGTATGGATCTCTGAAAAAATATTCTTTAAAAAATCCACGCCTTGTATGGATCTCTGAAAAAATATTCTTTAAAAAATCCACGCCTTGTATGGATCTCTGAAAAAATATTCTTTAAAAAATCCACGCCTTGTATGGATCTCTGAAAAAATATTCTTTAAAAAATCCACGCCTTGTATGGATCTCTGAAAAAATATTCTTTAAAAAATCCATGGATCGAAAAAATATTCTTTAAAAAATCCACGCCTTGTATGGATCTCTGAAAAAATATTCTTTAAAAAATCCACGCCTTGTATGGATCTCTGAAAAAATATTCTTTAAAAAATCCACGCCTTGTATGGATCTCTGAAAAAATATTCTTTAAAAAATCCACGCCTTGTATGGATCTCTGAAAAAATATTCTTTAAAAAATCCACGCCTTGTATGGATCTCTGAAAAAATATTCTTTAAAAAATCCACGCCTTGTATGGATCTCTGAAAAAATATTCTTTAAAAAATCCCCGCCTCGCCTTTGGTAGACTCTGAAAAAATATTCTTTAAAAAATCCACGCCTTGTATGGATCTCTGAAAAAATATTCTTTAAAAAATCCACGCCTTGTATGGATCTCTGAAAAAATATTCTTTAAAAAATCCACGCCTTGTATGGATCTCTGAAAAAATATTCTTTAAAAAATCCACGCCTTGTATGGATCTCTGAAAAAATATTCTTTAAAAAATCCACGCCTTGTATGGATCTCTGAAAAAATATTCTTTAAAAAATCCACGCCTTGTATGGATCTCTGAAAAAATATTCTTTAAAAAATCCACGCCTTGTATGGATCTCTGAAAAAATATTCTTTAAAAAATCCACGCCTTGTATGGATCTCTGAAAAAATATTCTTTAAAAAATCCACGCCTTGTATGGATCTCTGAAAAAATATTCTTTAAAAAATCCACGCCTTGTATGGATCTCTGAAAAAATATTCTTTAAAAAATCCACGCCTTGTATGGATCTCTGAAAAAATATTCTTTAAAAAATCCACGCCTTGTATGGATCTCTGAAAAAATATTCTTTAAAAAATCCACGCCTTGTATGGATCTCTGAAAAAATATTCTTTAAAAAATCCACGCCTTGTATGGATCTCTGAAAAAATATTCTTTAAAAAACCGCGCCTTGTATTGACCTTTGAAATTGACCCTTGAAAAAAAAATCTTTAAAAAATCCACGTCTTGTATGGATCTCTGAAAAAATATT